AGACGCTTAACGACTGAGCCACCCAGGCGCCCCTACAGAACTGTTATATCATCATAAAGAAATTCCTTGTTATCCCTTTATAATCACACCCTATCCTCAACTTTAACCCCTAGCAACCACTCCATGTTTTGTATCACAGTAATTCTGTCATTTCAAGAATATTATATAAATGAAACAATATAATATATAACCCTCTGAGACTGACATTTTTACTCACTGACTTTTTTCACTTAACTGAATTGTTTTCATCCAAGTTGTTTATATCAATAGTTCTTTATATTGCTGAGTAATATTCCATGATATGGATATACTACAATTTGTTTATCTACTCACTCATTAAAGGGAATTTGAATTTTTTCCAGTTTGGGGTTATTACAAATATACTGCTCTGAACATTCATGTATAGGTTTTCTTGTGTGGACATAATTTTCATTTCTCTAGGATAAATATCCAGGAGTGTGACTGCTGGGTTGAATAGTAAATCTATGTTTAACTTTATAAGAAACTGCTGAACTATTTTCCAGAGCGGCCTCCTAGACTTTTAGTCCAATAATTATCTATGCCATTTTTTAAAACATTTACAGAAAAAGTAGTATAAAGAGGAAAGAAGTAGCAAAATCTAGAGAAGATTATAGAATAAAACAGATAATACTATACCATAATGTCTTGATTCTAAGATACCACTGATATTGTAAATATTAATACAATAAAATTAATAACAAATTTTCAGGAAATATAACAAACTGAATTTCCATAATTACTGTTTACTGACAATGGTATTTACTTACATCCTATTTTCTTCTCTAATGTCACATTCAAAATTTGAGTCTAATCCTTCTTCATATTCAAAATATAAAAAATTGTCAAAAATATATGTATATATATATACTGGGGCCCCTGGGTGGCTCAGTCGGTTAAGCATCCAACACTTGATTCCGGCTCACGTCATGATTTTGGCTTAGGTCGTGATTTCAAGGTTGTGGGAGTGAGTCCTGTTTCGGGCTCTGCACTCAATGGGGAGTTTGCTTGAAATTCTCTCTCTCCCTCTGCCCCGCCCCTCCAATAAATAAATCTTAAAAATATAGGGGCGCCTGGGTGGCTCAGTCGTTAAGCGTCTGCCTTCGGCTCAGGTCATGATCCCAGGGTCCTGGGATCGAGCTCCACATCGGGCTCCCTGCTCGCCGGGAAGCCAGCTTCTCCCTCTCTCCCACTCCCCCTGGTTATATTCCTGCTCTCACTATCTCTCTGTTGAATAAATAAAATCTTTAATATATATATATATATATACACATATACACACATATACATAAAATTTTCTAGGTTACTTGGCTCTGTGAATGTATGAATCTTTATAATCTTATAATCTTGAACACTTTAGCATCTTTAGGGATGGACAGCATAACATTAAGGTAGAATGATGTTGTAATGTGCTGACCCCCATTAGTACTGAAGGACTTGTTTGCCCAGATGCTGAAAGTGCTACTGGCTTGCAACCCTCCCTCAGCTATCTCTTGGAAATATCCTTAGATGAAAAGTTATCTCACATAAGGTCATGCACCCTTCTGAAATGAAGTCTGCATCCAAGACTGACAGATGAAGGGAATAAGGTCTCAGGCCCTTTGTAGCAACTTAGTAGAACTTTAATGGGCCATTCCAGCTCTTAGAGTGACTTCTGGGGTCAGCTAAGGCCTTTGTTGAGAAAGCACTGTAGCCCAGCCTGTCCTTCTAACCAATCCTGTTTTCTTCTCTACCCAACATCTTAGAGGGTAGCCATCAAGAAACCAGAGGAGGGGGCCAAAAGTCTAGGAGAAGAGAGACTGCAGAGACATTCCCAGAGAACAGATTTAGCTCTAATTAGGCTCTAATCAAGGAACAATTTGTGCCCCTGGATATAGGGACTCGCTGCATGTTACTTAGTTGGGATTTCAAAATTGTTACAGATCAGTGATTGTTATGTGCATCCTCTTCCTGCCCTTTTTTGATAGGAGCTACTTACTGCGGTAATCCTGTCATTGTCTCTTCAATACAAATTTGGGTATGTTGGGGAGTGTAGATGTGTTTTTTTTGTTTTTGTTTTTTTTTTAATTCACAGGTCTCTGAGTCAGGAGAGCTGTCCCTGGGGAGCTGCATTTGAGGAGTTTAATCCACATCTAGACTTGATTTAAAGATGAAATTCTAGGCTTTGAGCCTGATGTATAATGAGATGAAATTTTTGGGAGAAGTCAGTGTGTCTTCAATTTGAATGGGATGCAAATTTTAGCCAAAGGGGACAGACTGTAGTAGATGGTTTGCAAAGATGGCCGTAATAATTCCTCCTATCTTCGTATGCAAGCTCCTTTAAATGTTAAGAAAGTGATCTATTTCCCTATTTCTTAAATCCAAGTTGGTCTTATAACTTGCTTTATTCAAAAGAATGTAGTGAAAGTGATACTATGCAAACTCCAAAGCTCAAGAGGCCCTGTAGCTTCTGTCCTCACCTTCCTGGAACCCAAGATCACTGTGAGAATAAACCTGAGTTAGTCTCCTGGAGGGTGAGGGATCACATAGAGGGCTCAGCTCACAACTAACACCAACCACCAATCATATCAATGAGATCACCTCAGACAACCAACTCCACTAGAGAGCAAGAGTGAGGGTGAAGGCAAGGGTGAGAGTACACATGGCAAACAGCTCAAGTCTGCAGGTAAACTGTTTCTAGCACCAGAGTTTGTGTAATAATTTTTCACGAGGCACAAATAGGTCCTATCAATTTCTCAGTTCTGAAAATTTTATCATCTATTCCTATTTAGTAATTTCCACCAGCATATACTTTCACTGACTATCCTGTAACAGGAATTTTTCTTTTTACATCTTACGTACCTACTTTCAGATAACTTCTTGTGTAAATTCTGAGCTTCTGCTTCCAAAAAATAGAAAAGAATATGGTAATTCTGCCAGCTACAAGTTTTGTTTCAGTGGTAATATCATAATGCAATTTTGCTGAAAACATTTAAAATTTCATTGAGGTGTCCAACCTTAAAATTCAATCACAATGAACTAATGTGATAACTGGATGAACAACAATATCTACATGGAACTAAGTTTGTACACATGCAGGCTATAATGACTATGTCACAACTTAATCCTGTCTGGTGGCTAGCAAGTATCTCTTCACATATAACAAGTGTTCTTGTTTAAAAATTAATAAGATGTGAATAAACACTTGTTTCCTCCACTCCATAATCATGTCAGTTTCCCCTCCCCCCACCCCCCGAGAGGACACTTTTTTTGAGGTATAATTTACTTTCAGAGCTTTTGGTTCCATTGATTTTTCTCCATTGTTTGTTCATTTTTTATGGATTTCTATTCCTATCTTTATTATTTCCTTCATTCTGCTTAGTTTGGGTTTAATTTCTCTTGCATTTTTAGCTTCTTGTGGTAGGAAGCTTAGATAATTTATTGTAAGACTTTTTCTTGTTCAGTATAAGCATCTAGAAACTTAAGCATCCAGAAACTTAAGCATCCCTTTAAGCACTGCTTTAGCTTCATCACACAGATTATGTTGTGTATTTATTATCATTTAGATCACAATATTTTTGAATTTCCCTTCTAATTTTTTCTCCTTTTAATTCTGACAGCTTTTGCTTTATGTATTTGAAGCTCTGTTATAAGGTACATATACATTCAGGATTTTTATATTTTCTTGATGAACTGACTTGACTTTTTTTTTTAAGTAATCTCTGTCTAATATGGGGCTTGAACTCATAACCCCAAGATCAAGAGTCACATGCTCTACTGACTGAGTCAGCCAGGTGCCCCAAACTGACTCAATTTTTTTTTTTTAATATTTTATTTATTTGACAGAGAGAGACACAGCAAGAGAAGGGACACAAACGGGCAGAGGGAGAAGGAGAACCAGACTCCCCGCTGAGCAAGGAGCCTGATGTGGGACTCCATCCCAGGACCCCGGGATCACTACCTGAGCCAAAGGCAGATGCTTAACGACTGAGCCACCCAGGTGCCCCCTTACTCGATTTTTTAATCAATATGAAATATTCTTCTTGATCTCTGGTAATACTCCTTGTCTTGAAGTCTATTTTTCTAATGTGAGTAAAGCCACTCTGGCTTTCTTAGCATACCTAGAAGTTTTGATGCACATAATGAAGAAGAGAGTAGTTAAATCTCATTAATAAAACATAAATGGTGATTAAAACCCATTGCTCATTAACTTACATGAAATAATCTCTAAGAATATATATGTATAAATGAAAAGATGTTCAACATCACTCATCATCAGTGAAATACAAATCAAAACTACAATGAGATATCACCTCACACCAGTCAGAATGGCTAAAATTAACAACAAAGGAAATAACAGGTGTTGGAAAGGATGTGAAGAAAGGGGAACACTTTTACACTGTTGGTGGGAATGCAAACTGCTGCAGCCACTCTGGAAAACAATATGGAGGTTCCTTAAAGTTAAAAATAGAACTACCCTACGATCCAGTAGTAAATACCTTTAGGTATTTACCTAAAGGATATAAAAATACTAATTCAAAGGTATAAATGCACGATGTTTACAGCAGCATTTCCACCAATAGCCAAACTATGGAAAGAGCCCAATGTCCATTGACTGATGAATGGATAAAGAAGATGTGGTGTATATATACAATGAAATAAATCAGAAAGAGACAAATACCATATGGTTTCACTCATATGAGGACTTTAAGAAACAAATGAATGTAGGGGGGAAAAGGCAAACCAAGAAAAAGACTCTTAATCATAGAGAACAAACTGATGGTTACTAGAGAGGAGGTGGGCAGGATGTCGGGTTAAACAGGTGATGAGGATTAAGGAGGGCAAGTGTTGTGATGAGCACCAAGTATCATAAGTGATGAATCACCAAATTCTACACCTGTAAATAATATTACACTATACTTTAACTAACTGGAATTTAAACAAAAACTTGGAAGAAAGAAAGAAAGAATATATGCGTATATGTAACTATTTCATGTACCGACCTCATCAATAAAAGGTATTAGTACCACAGCTTCCCATTCCTGTTGTTTCCCATTTAGGTCAGTTTTAAAATCAGGTGGATAATATTCTATAATTGGTGAGTCTTCACTGGTCATCAAGTGCTATGGAAATATAAAAGAGTAATAGAAATATAAGAACTAATATCAATATAACTTTTTGTTAATATATTTACAATATTTACTCATGTTACAGTTTAAAATTCCTAAGCAAAAGCAAAACTAAAGTTTTACATCTTAGAAATGCTACAATATACTTGCTATATTTTTGATTTTCAGCTATGAGACTTCTAATTTCACTGCTACTCATCACTTTCCCATTCCAGTGACCTAGTTATGTAGCAAAACCATCTTTACTCTGAATTTCAACTTTACCATTTCTATCTTTTATTGTCTTATCACTCTATAAGGCCCACTTAAATTCTGTTCTCAGACTTCATTTCACAGGCTTCCAATAGTCCTCCATTTTTAACCTTGTTTACTTTTGTACTTTTGTGTCCTAATCAATTGATTTTGTTAAGTAATATAAGATCTAAGTTTAAATTATCTAAGATAATTTAAAAAGAAAAAAATTCTAAAATCCAAGAATCTCTTCACCACTAATAGCAAAGATGAAAGGTCCAATAAAAAGACATGTTTTCATTAGACATTTTACAACAGAGATAGATGAAGAAAGCCTAAGTATGTCTTCTAGGAAAGAACTACAAAAGACTATAGTATAACATTTTTTAAATAAGTAAAACAGCATATTTCTCAGGGTAATACAAAAATATTTAATAACCAGTATGGCATGGGCACAGAACCATCTAGATCTTCTAGGCTTGTATGAGGAGCTCCTAAGTATCAAAACAGACATAAAAACATTTAATTTTAAAACTCACCTGGTAGCATGTAGGAAGTAAATTTTTGCTAGCTGCTGGGAGAACAGCAAGAAGCTGTTCAAATGGCTTAAAAGGTTTTCCTAGTTCAAAATGGATTTTGAGTGTACTGATGTTACGGATATCAGATAGGAAAGGTGCATAATGGTAGGGATAATACCTATAAAACAAAACTGAGTTTTAAACAATTGGCAACTTTATGAAACAGGTCAATATTAAATATATACTTTTCCTTATTTAGCAACACAGCAATAACTCTAAAGAAAAAAAAATGATTACCCATAGTACTATCACTTGATTTAAGAAATCAGCAGCACTAGCATATTTAGGTCATGTGATGGCAACAAATGTTGTATTTTCTTAATTTTTTTTTAAAGCTTTTATTTATTTATTTGACAGAGAGAGAGAGAGAGCACAAGCAGGGGGAGCGGCAGGCAGAGGGAGAGGGAGAAGCAGGCTCCCCACCCAGCAAGGAGCCCAATGCGCATCTCGATCCCAGGACCCTGGGATCATGACCTGAGCCAAAGGCAGACGCTTAACCAACTGGACCACCCAGGCGCCCCTGTATTTCCTTAATTTTTAAGGTATAATTTCACATTTCCAAAATTGGGATGTATCATGTAATTGAAGGATATAGATATAAACACAAATATATGTGTATTTATATAAAATATATGTGTGTGTATATATATGTATGTTACCTAAATAAAATATAATGGTCCTTTTAGCTTCCAAGATACTGAGTGTGAATCTTCCAATCAGTAGACTCTTAGAATATGTACTGAGGTGGTCAGAAGACTTTCAGTTAGCACACATGAGCTGGAGCCTCTCTCAAGAGCACAGAGAGAACAGTGAGTCTGAGCTCATGTGGCTGTTACTAGTCAGCTCTAAGAACTTTTATATCTTTGAATTGGTATATATAAGATTAAACCATTTATCAATCATACACACTATTTTTGTTTTTAATGCCTTCCCGTCTATAACTACAGGTATAAATATTATTTTTTTTTAAAGATTTTATTTGTTTATTTGACAGAGAGAGAGAGAGCACAAGTAGGCAGAAAGGCAGGCAGAGGGAGAGGGAGAAGCAGGCTCTCTGCTGAGCAGGGAACCTGATGCGGGGACCCTGGGATCATGACCTGAGCCGAAGGCAGACACTTAACCACCTGAGCCACCCAGGCGCCCCCAGGTATAAATATTTTTTACAAAGCCTTAAACATACAATTTTTAAATAATTTCACTGTTTTTAATGTTTGACTAAGGATGCTAAAAATAAATATTTTTTCCCCACAATTATGACATATTTCAAAAAGATGAGAAAGTTTAGGAGACAGATAGCATTTAGAATGGGAATGGATAGACTTTGGAATCAGATAGGCTTAGACTTGATTCTTGGGTGTATGCCTTTAGAAAGATTACTTTCTGGGGTGGCTGGGTAGCTCAGTTGGTTAAGCGCCCAACTCTTGATTTTGGCTCAGGTCATGATCTCAGGGTTTTGAGACTGAGCCCTCCGTTGGGCTCTGTGCTGGGCATGAAGCCTGCTTAAGATTCTTTCTCCCTCTCACTCTGCTCCTCCATCCCATTTTCTCTCTCTCTAAAAAAAAAAAGAAAGAGAAAGAAAGAAAGATTGCTTTCTAAAGTAACTGAGCCTCATCTGTAAAAGTCAGACAACAATACTTACTTCATAGTGGTGAGGATTATATGAGAACATGCTTTTCAAGTGCCTGGTCTTAATGCATGATACATAATAAGATTAGTTTACACTCACCCTATTAAGAAATGCCAAATCAAGGATTTTTGTCATTAGAATGCTCTTCAGAGAGGCCCTGAGAATTAGGTAGTTATTGCAAAAATTTTTTTAAAAGATTATAATTAAGTGAAATCAATTAATATACATAATTTGTACTGGTTTGTTTTCCTGTATGGTGCTTTAAAACAAAACCTAGCAAAGGTGCTATCAAAACAAAACAATCTCATCATTTAAAAGTCTCTCCTTTTTCCTGTATCATTTTTTGGTTTATTATTTTTCTATTCTGGTGGATGGTTTAGAAAAGTAGATGGAACTTGCTGGAATAGGAAACATGAGAGAAATGGAAAATTATTACTATTTCAAGGAAAAGCAAATAATTCCTTTCTCCTTTCTTCTTCACCCTTCCCAGTCTAACATTCAAATAACCCATTCTTTAATAATCACTCTTTTTTTTTTTAAAGATTTTATTTATTTATTTATTTGAGAGAGCACATGAGAGGGGGGAGGGTCAGAGGGAGAAGCAGACTCCCCACTGAGCAGCGAGCCCGATGCGGGACTCGATCCCGGGACTCCAGGATCATGACCTGAGCTGAAGGCAGTCGCTTAACCAACTGAGTCACCCAGGCACCTTCTTTAATAATCACTCTTGATAGAAAAATTTTTTCAAACATACAATAATATAGCAAAGAATGTAATGAACAACCCTATATAACCATCACTCAGACCCAATAATTATCAACACTCTGTCACAGTTGATTCATCATAATAGAGAATTTTAAATCCTTAGATTTAAAGCGCTTTCATTATTGGCCATCTGCTAGGGCTGGAAGTATCTTTGTTACACAAAGGTCTTTAAAAAGTATTTTCATATAAGAAAAGATTACCTGTATTTCATTTAAACTTGGCTATATATATCTTTTTAAAAATGCCACCATAAATAGAAATAAAGAGAAAAGAGAACCCTAAATGAGATTATAGGAGAACAAACCATTATTTAAAAAAAAAAAAAATCAAAACTTTATTTTTGTTTGTATTCCTCACCAGCTCCAAGACTGAACTCCGTGATAGTAATAGTGCAAAATCCACTGTATTGCCTGAACATAACATGCAGCTTGATCAGCCAGAAAGTCGCTGAAAATAGAAAAGAATATTTTCATTATAATGTTAATTTTTGAAGACAGGCCATTTGTCTTTAGAGCATGAACTGCTGATACACTCTGCCTCACATATGTTTTATATAATCAATGAATAAGCTAAAAATTGTAATCAGAAAAATTCCAAAATATTATTTAAAACAAATTCCATCCTGTCAGATTAAAGGTTTGCCTTATAGTTTCCCTAAACCGCCCATCAGAATAATACTTAAACCTACTGTGCATATTTATTCAGTCAATGTACTATGCCTGTGGTTTAAAGTTTGAGGATTTGGCCAATGAAGCTTTTGATAAGGTGGCATTACCACTGTCCAAAATAGCCAGGGTGTGATAGGAGACAGGGATGGGAAACTTTACCTGAGAGGATGCCTGAGAAAAATCACAGGAGGAAATGAGGAAGATCACAGAATCTGGTTATAGCAGCTAGAACACACTTTGAAAAATGCTATATTCACTGAACAATATTCCCTCTAATCCTTTCTTTCTCAAAGACCATCATTTAAGGTAAAAAACATTTAAGGTAAAATACATATACACACACCCACACCCACACACGAGACTTGGGCTAAAGCCAAAAAGTAGCCATAAACCTGCTAGTGGCTGTTAGCAAAATTCAGGTAGAGATGGCATTTAGAAATTCCAGACCTCAATATTTCTGGGAGGTACACTTTTGAAAATGAAACATTAATTTTTCATTAAAAAATATTTTCTCATTATTGAAAATCTAGACAATGAAGAAAAGCATTTTTATTACCTTACAGCAATCACTATTACATATTGGTATTTTTTTTTCAGTCTTTTTTCTATGCCCAGGTTGGTTGGTTTTTTATGTTTAATATTAATTAGAGTATACTGTATACATGATTTTGTGTCCTGCTTTTGAAATCTGTGCTTAATAATATACTATAAGTATCTTTCCAAATTGTTATGAACTTTTTATAAGTACCAGTTTAGCAGTTCTACAGATTCTGAGGACAGTGTTATGGCAAGATAGTGACTATGATACATGGGAAGTGGACATGATTATGAGGACATGTAGATCATTTCTAATTTTGTGCTATTATAAAAAACTCTGCAATAAACATCCTTGTGTATAAGAATCTTCTGTGTTTCAGTTTATATTTTTAAGACAGATTAGTACTTAGAATTACTGAGTCAAAGGGATAAATATTTTAAAGACTTTTGGATATATACTTCCCAAAATAATTTTACCAATTTATATTTCCACCAGTAATTAGGAAAGAATACTACCATCACTTTTGGACCAACATTGAACATAACGATTTTAAAAGATTTGCTTATTTGTTAGGCAAACAAATGGTATCATATTTTCATAAGTCTATATTTTAATATATAAAAGGGAAGGGAAATAAAACACAAGATTTGTTAGCTATCATATTAAGAATGTACTGCCAAAAGCAGGTATTACAGTGCTATATAACTGCAATCAAGGAAATATAAGGATTAAGGAATAAAAGATTAAAAGCATAACTATTTTATTTGTTTTTTTAAAGATTTTATTTATTCATTTGACAGAGACACAACGAGATTTCTCAAGTCTCAGAAGTCTTACATGCTAGTGGTACTTGACAAAGCTTTAAATGAGCTGGTGAATTGTACTAGAATTCCTGTACGTCTAGTTCCTAGAGGTCAGTATGAATATAGACCGGAAATACTATGTCTAGACTAGACTAGAAGACAGTCTGAGAGTATATAAAGCAATGTCTAAAAGCTTGGGTCTATCTCTGGGCAGGCTCTAGAAAAGATCTAATATTTAGTGTTTTATTACATTAAAAAAAAGATAAGAACAGTATAGAAAATATCTAAGTATAATATCTAAGTATGTAAAAGGGTACATAGAATTTCATGAAACTCTTATCTCACTTAGAGAGAAGCAGTCTCATCCAGTGGTTAAGAGTATTAACTGGGGGCACGCCTTGGAGGCTCAGTCGGTTAAGCGTCTGCCTTCGGCTCAGGTCATGATCCCAGAGTCCTGGGATTGGGCCCACATTGGGCTCCTTGCTCAGCGGGGAACCTGCCTCTCCTCCTGCCTGCTGCTCCCCCTTCTTGTACATGCTCACTCTCTCTTTCCCTCACAAATAGATGAAATCTTAAAAAAAAAAAAGAGTATTAACTGGGGGCACCTAAGCTGACAGTAGAGCATGTGATTCTTGATCTTGAGGTTGTGAGTTCTATATCCATGTTGGGTGTAGAAATTACTTAAAAAAATGAACTTAAAAAAGAAAAAAAAAGAGAGAGAGAGAAAGAGAGTATTAACTCTGGAGCCAGACTGCCTATGTTCAAATTCTGGCTCTGCCACTCACTGACTATGTCACCTTGGTAAGTCACTTAAGCCTCTCAAATCCTGGTTGGCTCAGTTGGTAAAGCATGCGACTCTTGACCTTGGGGTTGTAAGTTTGGGCCCCACATTGGGTGTAGAGATTACTTAAAAATAAAATCTTAAAAAAAAGAAAAAAAGAATCTACCTAAAAAAAAAAAGCCTCTCCATTCCTTAATTTCTTCTATTGTAAAATAGTAATTTATTTATCTTAAAGAACTGTTGTGAGAATTAAGTCAGTCAATATTTTAAAATTGCTTAGAATAGCACTTGGTACTTGGTAAGCACACTTGGTAAGCACTTTCTAAGATTTTGTTAATTAAATAAAATACAAACATATGTAGTTCATACTGTGGGCTGCAGTTTAAAAGTGTGAAAGTTACCATTCTAGAGGTCAAGTTCTTAAGGAACTTTTGGGCTAGGTATTAACTTGGGGCTAAGCCAGGTAGCCTTTTTTTTTTTTTTTTTTAAAGCCAGGTAGCCTTTGAGATGAGTTTGATGTGAATCCAGAAAATGGAAGGAAAAAAAAACTAACAATTTTCTACCTGCTAACTTTTTACCAAAGGAATATAACACATGTCAATTATCACCTTCTCCAAAACCACAGCAGTTGAAAGACTGACACTACAATAATTTATGTAATCAAAAAATTTTCCTTGCCCACTACCTTAACTATCAAAATTATGCTGTTTTTTGAAGAACTGCAAAATCTAATTTTTTCTATTTTAAAGTAAAAGCATTGGTAAAAACGTACTCAGACACTACATCAACTCCCATCTTCGTCATGTAATATGTTCTTTTATATTGTCTAAACTCAGTTTCAAATAGGTCATCATCTTCAGTTTCATCTTCTAAATTATCTGGAAAAAAAGCCAAAAGACAGTGGCTGAAAATTATAAATATTCTGTTTTTCCACCTAGAGTTTTGATAAATATATAGCAAAGCAGATGCCTACAAACTAACATAGAAATCTGTTCCATCCAATATTATTAATTAGTACTTACTAAGGAATGATACAATAATCATCTTGTCAAAAATATAACATAGTGAATACAGAGTTTGTACTCACCCTTAGAAGTTACCACTTCTTCTCCATTTTTGTCTAAAGCAGCCCAACAAATGGCATTTCCCTGGCCCTACAAAAATTATAAATCAATATAAAATTAATGGCGAGATGTATTTCAAAGTAAGATAACTGAACAGGGAGATTTAAAAAATACTAAAAAGAACTGAATGATCCTTAAGTGACAACACTGTGAAAGTTCGTTCAAAAAATAATCCTCAAATACTATGTAAATGTTTTGGTTTTATATCACTTGTTTTCTAAATCTTTATTATTCAGGCCTCTCAAAAATATGTAATAGGTAATTCTCACCTATTGTGTTAACATAATCTATTTGTTTATAATCGAATCCAATGATTACAAATATTACATGTTTTCTGTATCTTTGGATTCCATCATTCTTTTTTTTTTTTTTTAAAGATTTTATTTATTT